GTTGCTTTAAAGTCTAATTTATCAGAGATGAGAATTGCAACTCCTGCTTTTTTTTGCTCTCCATTTGCTTGGTAAATCTTCCTCCATCCCTTTATTTTGAGCCTTTGTGTATCCTTGCATGTGAGATGGGTTTCCTGGATACAGCACACCGATGGGTTTTGTCTTTTTATCCAATTTGCCAGTCTGTGTCTTTTGATTGGGGCATTTAGTCCATTTACATTTAGGGTTAATATTGTTATGTGTGAATTTGATACTGCCATTTTGGTGCTAGCTGGGTGTTTTGCCCTTTAGTTGAGCTGGTACTTGTTGCTCCTTTATATGTGTAGAGCCTCTTTCAGGAGCTCTTGTAGAGGTGGCCTGGTGGTGATGAAATCTCTGAGTACTTGCATGTTCCCAAAGGATTTTATTTTTCCTTCACTTATGAAGCTTAGTTTGGCTGGATAGGAGATTCTGGGTTGAAAGTTCTTTTCTTTAAGGATGTTGAATATTGGCCCCCATTCTCTTCTGGCTTATAGGGTTTCTGCTGAGAGATCTGCTGTGAGTCTGATGGGCTTCCCTTTGTGGGTAACCTGACCTTTCTCTCTGGCTGCCCTTAGTATTTTCTCCTTCATTTCGACCCTGGTGAATCTGACGATTATGTGCCTTGGGGTTGCTCTTCTTGACGAATATCTTTGTGGTGTTCTCTGTATTTCCTGGACTTGAATGTCTACCTGCCTTGCTAGGTTGGGGATGTTTTCCTGGATAATATCCTGAAGAGTATTTTCCAGCTTGGATTCATTCTCTTCGTCACATTCAGGTACACCTATCAAACGTAGATTAGGTCTTGTCTTTTCACACAGTCCCACATTTCTTGGAGACTTTGTTCATTCCTTTATACCCTTTTTTCTCCAGTCTTGCCTTCCCGTTTTATTTCATTGAGTTGATCTTCGACCTCTGATATCCTTTCTTCTGCTTGGTCAATTCGGCTGTTGATACTTATGCATGCTTCACGAAGTTCTCGTGTTGCGTTTTTCACCTGCATCAATTCACTTATATTCCTTTCTATTTTGTCCCTTCTCATTAGCATTTCGTCAAATCTTTTTTCAAGGTTCTTAGTTTCTTTGCATTTGGTTAGAACGTGTTCTTTAAGTTCACAGAAGTTTCTTACTACCCACCTTCTGAAGTCTGATTCTGTCATTTCATCACACTCGTTCTCCATCCAACCTTGTTCCCTTGCTGGTGAGGAGTTGTGAACCCTTTTAGGAGGAGAGGTGTTCTGGTTTCAGGTGTTTTCATCCTTTTTGCGCTGGTTTCTTCCCATCTTTAAGGATTTATCCACCTGTCGACTTTGTAGTTGCTGGCTTTCAGATTGGGTCTCAAATCTTTCAGATTGACGTTCTGTTTGTTGATGATGAGGTTATTTCTGTTTCTTGGTTTTCCTTCTAACAGTCTGGCCCCTCTGCTGTAGGTCTGCTGAGGTTCACTCCAGGCCCTGCTTGCCTGGGGTTCACCTGCAGCAGCTGCTGAACAGTAAGGGTTGTTACCAGTTTTCTTCTTCTGCTATCTTTGTCCCAGAAGGATACCCGCCTAGTGTCAATCTGATCTCTCTTTTATGGGGTGTCTCTTTGGATATATAGGGGTCAGGGAGCTGCTTGAGGAGACAGTCTCTTCTTTATGGGAGCTCAAATGGTGAGCTGTGAGCTCTGTTGTTGTTCATTCAGAGCTGCTGGGCAGGTGCTTTTAGGTCTGCTGGAGCAGAACTCATAAACTGCTTTTTGTTCCCAGGTGCTCTGTCCCAGGGATTTAGGGCTTTATTTATGAGTTTCCGTTATGCTGCCGCCTTCTTTTTTTTTTTTTCCTTCAGACCTGCCCAGCCCCGCAAGGAGGCAGCCTAGTCACTGTCGGCCTATGGCAGCTTTGCTGAGCTGCTGTGGGCTCCGCCCCGCTGCGGAGTGAACTTCCCTGCAGTCCTGTTTATATGGGTGTAGTTAGAACTGCTTTGGTGATGGTGGCCTGCCTCTGTTGAGGCAGAGTCTCTCTGCTGTGGCGGGTTGCCTTGGCAACAGCGGGCTGCCTCAGCAATGGCGGGTTGCCTTGGCAACGGCAGGCTGCCTCAGCAATGGCGGGTTGCCTTGGCAACGGCGGGCTGCCTCGGTAATGGCGGACGCCCCTCCCCCACAGAGCTGGACCGTCCCGGGTTCAGCTGCGCTTGCTGTGAAACTCTCAATCCAGAGTTTCTGGTTGCTGTTCTTTTGTGGGGGTGGGGCCAGCCGAGCCTGATCGCCTGGCTCCCTGCCTCAGAGCCTTTTTTAAGTTGGTGTTCCAGTCGCCTGTTGAAGAGGCGCCGGGGTCTGTTTGTTTTCCCCTGCGGCCACTCACTGCGCTGGCTTAAACAGCGGCACTGAGGTTTGTGGCACTTTTTTTTTTTTTTTGCCCTGGAATCTGCTGTCCTGGTTCTCTGCTCAGTCCCCTTTTTGAACCGGCGAATGGGCGACTTCCCGTGGCTCCAATCGCCAGCCAAAAGGGCACCCGGACCAGTGTTATTTTGTACAGAGAACCGCGGCTCCGGGGCGCCGACAAAGCAGCCACGCGGGGCAAAGCAGCGGCGCCGGCCGGCACAGCCTCGCTGGCCGAAACAGCCACGCTGGCGACCGTGGAGCACCTCTGCCCAGGAATTTCCTAGTCTGTGGGCAATAAAAACGTGGCCTCCACTCACCCTCTGCGCTTTCACTGGGAGCTGCAATCCTGATCTGTTCCTAAACGGCCATCTTGGATCCTCCCTCCCAGATAATCCTTAAACACATATTTCTAAGTGAAAGAAGCCAATCTGTAAAGACTGCATACTGTATAAGTCCAACTATATGACAAAGGAAAAGTCAAAACTATTGAGACTAAAAAGATCAGTGGTTTCCAGGGGTTAAGGAAATAGGAAGGAGGGACAGACAGGAGAAGCTCCGGGTATTTTTAGGACAATGAAACTATCCTGTGTGATACAGTCACGATGGATGCATGTCAAAACCTACGGAATGTGCAATGCTGTCGTACGTTGTATTGATGGAACACTATTGTAAACCAAGTATTTTAGTTTCTAATAATGCATCAATGTTGATTCATCAATTTTAACAAATGTACCACATTAATACAAGATATAAATAATAGGAAAAGGGTGGGGACAAGATGTGTGCAAACTCTCTGAATAGTCTGATGAATTTTTTTCTGTAAAGCTAAACTGCTGTGAAAACATAAATTTTATGAAAGTTGTAATATTTTTTAAAAAGTGGTCTAGGACTAGTTGGGATTCATAGAGGCTAAAAAGGTGACGTAGGGGGTTTCAGGCAATGGATGCAGCAGCACAAAACCTAAATGGAGGAGGATATTCCCCCAATGAGGCAGAGAGAAGGAAGTATCACCCCAGACAATTGGGTCTGCTAGTCCTGTCACTGCAGCTCTGGATTTAAAGCTTCAAATTAGTGTCAAAAAGGCTTCATTCAAATCCTGGTTCTATCACTTAAGGGTTACATGAGTTTCTTGAAATCCCTTAAGCTTTCTGACCTGCATCACTGGGTGAAAATAATATATACAAGATGGCATAAAGGCTCAAATGAGATAATGCATGTGAAATCTCTTTGTGAATTTTGAAGTGTTAAAGAAACAGCGTTTGTTATTATCGTAAAAGAGAAATCTTCTCACTGCTTTCATTTCTTTCATGGTGACCCTCTCTTGGCAACTAGCTGCCATGTGCCAGAGCAGATCTTCTTGTTGAAATGGAGTCACTCAAGTCTACACCTGCTTTCTCTATCTTATACTGAAGTTTCTCCTAAATATTGTCTTTCACTACTTATCTGTATATTTGGCTAGTCTTCTGTTGACACACCAAGTTTGGAATGGTATCAGATGTTTCAATAGCAACTTTAGTGATATTAAGTGCCAGAAAGCTGGGATGGCCGTGAACAGGGTCTGAGGGAAGTCAGTCTGGGATAACAGTACTTGAACTTGATGATTTTTTTTGCTTACCTCCCAGTTCTTTCTCCCTTATATTACTCTCTACTCTCATCTCCCCTTCAATGATGATTTTGTGATGTCTTCCACTCAAAATCTCTATTAAAGAGAAAACCAAGCTAAAAGGCAGCTAGAGACAGCTCTGGAACAGTTTTCTATAGCCAACCTGCTCTTATGATTGAAGAGTGTTCTATCAGGGGAAAGAGTTCAAAATAACCCATACTTGATCTCAACCAATGTAGCATGCCTATTATGTTAAAAACAGAATAATGTTTAACCATTCTAAATGTGGGAATAAAGCTTAGACCTTCTTTTTATAGATTATCCAATTTAATTTTCACAAACCTTCCGTGATGTGTGCTTTATTACCAAGCAGATTTTACAAACAATGAAGCAGGTTCAGGGATTGTCAGTGACTTGGCCTAAGTTCAGCCTCATTCCTCAAGAATGCAGAGCTCAGCTCCACTTCTGCAGAGTCTAAGCTTACTTTCTTCTTGAGTCTGTCTCTCCCACTTTCCTCCTAAATGACAGACATTGTGATGTTTTGGTGTGACAGTTACTTAAGAATGAAAACCCATGGGGCGTGGTGGCACATGCCTGTAATCCCAGCACTTTGGGAATTCTTTCTACTATCAGGAGATTTTCAATTTCATGGGAGAGACAACCATGTCTCTCATAAGGTACTAAGATGGGATAATTCCCTTGATCCCCTTCGCGGGCGGACACTGGAGTGGCTCATTTCATTCATCCCTCCGCTGAAGCAGGAAGCAGGGAGGGAGCGAGTGAGAGAGTGTGGGAACCGGAGGGAAACTAACACTAGAACCAGCCTGTGGCTACTGTCTGGTGGGAGCAGACTCTGTGCAGCCCCCACAGCAGCATCCAGGCGTGTACGGCCATGCTCTTTCAGCTCTGCCGTCTGGGGATGGCCAAGTGCCAGCCAGTTCAGTGGAAGGTCAAGGTGGCAAACCCCTGCCCTCTCGGTTCTTGTACAGCATCCAGAAAGAAGCAGGTCACATGGACTGTTTGAAAGGTGATGAATGCAGAAGACTTTATTTAGCTCAGCGGAAATGGAGGCTGGAAAGGAGATGGGAAGATGATCTTTCCCTGAAGCCCGGCGTTCTCCCGCTGGGCCCCTCTCAGAAGCCACACCATCTGCAGTTAGCCTCTTCTATCCATAGTCTCTGGTGCTCAGTTGCTTCTCTGCTTGCCGTTCAGCCACTTGTATCCTTGACGTTCAGCTGCTTGTATTGCTCTGCCAGCTGGAGTCTTTTATGGGCACAGGGTAGGGGTAGATCAGGCCAAAAAGGCAACATGAGGGTGGAAAAACAGGGTCAGTTGTTTTCACTTAAGTCCACGGTTCCAGGCACAAGCGTGGGATTTGGCTGGGAGTCCAGGCCTTTTGTACCAGTACCTAAAGAATACAGCTTTTATGATTGAGGTATCCAAAAACTATGGTGGGCAAGAATAAACAGAGATGGATAGAAATAATTTGCTATAGGCGGCAGGAGGAATGGAGGGTAGGGTGACAAAGATAGAGAGAAAAGTTGTCTAAGTATATGTTCATGTGATTTTGACTTTTAAAGTACATGTTTTACATGTGACAAAATTGAATGGAATTAAGGAAAAAGACTACAGTGATGGCACATAAGAGTGAGACACGTGAGTCTTCTGGGGCATGGGAAGAGATCATAAAAGACTTCCTAGAGGAAGTGAATTTTGAAATGAATCCTTTTGTTTTGTGTCATGTTTAAAATTGTGGGTGTTTTAGCTTAGTCTGAAAAGGTGAGTGAGTGAATAATGCTTAAACTATTATCATTAACTTCTTTCCCCAATCACAGATAATGCCACTGTACAACCCACTGAAATGGACTGCTTGAAAAAGAGCAGGTTTGCAGAGGATAGGGAAAGCAACAAGTTGCGTTGGTGGTGATTAATAGTCTGACCACTGGAAAAACATTTTACCTCTCAACATCATTTATAAATTAAAGAAGGCTCTCTGGGTGGACTTCAAAATCAGTTTTCATACACAGATTCTACACAGAATTGCCAATGGCCTGTTGCCTACACTGTGGCTATAATTTCTTGGGCTGTGTCATTTTAAAGAGCTGCTCTTATGTCAACAAATGGTTATCCTTCCCAATTAGTATGTAAACCTGGATTTTGGAATTTATTAATTGTTCTTCACTGTTGTGGTTATTTTACGATAAAATATTCATAACCTTTGTCTTGTAACCCCTGGCCTGCCTTTCTCATGGGAAGGGAAGAGAATTGCTCAGAAGAATAACCTTCCCACTTGGGTCAACAAGAGCTGCAACTGGTTCTAAGGAGGGTGTCTTATTGCTGTCAAATTGACCGGGGTTGTCACACATGAAGCCTGCTGTCACTGCATCTTGCTCAGAACCAGCCCCTTAGCTTGCTGAGTCAAGCTGTGCTGACTCCTGGTGATAGAATTTTAATGTGAGGAATGACAGAGGCCTTGGAGTTAATGTGTACGTGGAGGTGACAGTTTTGAATGTCAGCCAAAGCACAAAGGCCTGTCTGAAATTAATTTTGGGGGGTGGCAGAAAGTCGTGGGAAGATGGAGAAAAATAGTATGATGGAGAATTGAGATAAGTTGAGTCAAATCTACTACCATCTGCTACAAATGAAAGCATCATTCTGTGTATGAACACAGAATATTTGAGCCTGGGAGGTTAAAACAAAAGAGCATTGGCCTCATCAGATAATTCTGTAGCTTTTAGTCAACCTAGTGTGCAATTTGCCACTTTTAGATCTCTATAACCCCAATTTCCTTTATTAAAACAGAGTTGCAAAAAGTGGACATGGATCTTCTGATGAGATGAGTTAGAACCCAATCATTTAAAGATGCAATATTTAACTTTCTGGTAATGAAATAAGCCAAACTGCATTTTATGTACCTTAATTTTCCCTTTACATTGTCACATATTTAAACTCTAAAATATTTTCCTTGTTATTTAGAAGACAATATCACATCTTTAATCTGTCTGTGGTAGGAGGAACAATGCCCAAAGATGTCTGCATCTGTGAGTGTGTTATATTACATGGCAAGGTAGAATTAAGAGAGCAGACAGAATTAAAGTTTTTAATCAGCTGACTTTAAAATAGGAAGATTATCCCAGATTACCTGAGTGGGCCCAATGTAATACAAGAGTCATTAAAAGTGAAAGAGAATGGCAGAAGAAAAGTTAACCAGACTTACGTGATGTGGGACTCTACTGGCCATCGCTGGCCTTAAAGAGTGAAGGGGGCCATGAGCCAAGGAATGTGGGCGGTCTTTAGAACCTGGAAAGGCAAGGAAATAGATCTTGTTTAGAGACCCCAAAAGAAACACAACTTGCTAATACCTGTATTTTAGCCCAGCCCTATCAGACTCGTGATCTGTAGAACAAGTCTGTGTTGTTTTAAGCTACTACATTTGTAGCTATACAGTATAGCAACAGGAAAACTAATACGGTGGCTTTTCAGGTTTTTCACAGTGTGAATCTGCTTTTGTCCTCAATTTTCCTAGTTGTACCCTATCTCTGAATTCTGACACTGATTTCTAAGCACACCTTATACATTACAAACTTGGTCATGCCATTTCCTGTTTCTGGACCCTACTGTGGGGCTAGTTAGCACTGAGGAGAGCTGTGGGTCCTAGGGGCTGATTGTGGTTAGATTTGGTACTGCATGTGGGTTGAGGGGAGCATTTGAGTCCATGTCCTTGAAAAAGAGCAGAAGCCAAAGAGGAAAAACTGATTGCAAAAGCCAAGTTCGAAAACCATTTATAGAATTACAAACACGGGACAAGGGCAAGACGTTGAGGCCAGATGGCAATAGAAAAAAGGAGGGGTTAACAACGTGTGTTCTGGGAAAACAGTGTTCGAGCTCTTGAGGGGCCTATGGCTTATGTCTGTCGTGGACGGAGGTAACCTGTAGGGTTGCTTTGTGCTGATTGAAAGGTGATACGTGCAGCCAAATTTCCTCCATTGTCTTCAACTATCACAATTCTACCATCATTCATAGCCTAGCTCCTCCATAATGCTTTCCTGAATATTTCAGTCCAAAGCTGTCATCTCCTTTTATGAAGTTTTAGCATTTACCTTTTTTATTCTTCATGTGGTAGTTGCAGTTGATGGCCGCATATTTTTAACTAAACAAGGGTATTGTATGAACAATTGTAAATATTTACATAATACAGTCAAACATAAAGAAGACTTTCAAATCATTCAGAGTCTTACCAGCCAAAGATAATCACTGTTCACATTTTAGCATTTATCTTCCTATACTGATACAATATTTTTTGTATATGCACATACATGCACACACAAATATATTTCATTTAACTTTCTAAAATAAAATATATTGAAGGAAATTGCATATAATACAAATTAAGTCAAACTTATTACATATTAACTTAAACATAAAGTATTTGACATTAACGACATCTGTAGTATTATTCTGACATCTAAACTTTTCACCTGGACATATCTTTCTAGCACAGACAAATGGTAAGCATTGTGAGGGAGGGGAACAAGATTTTATGTATTTTTTTTTGTCCCCACTGATGTTTAGCATAGCGCATTGTATATTTTAAAGGCTAAATAGAGACAGATTAAAAAGTTGTGGCCAGAAACCTGTAAACACTTTCAATCTACAAATGGGTAGTATTTGTTATTGATGTGTTTTCAGATTTTACCAAGTAATTCCAATAATTATTTCTGTACAGAGAATTTTTTAAAAGTTGTACCATATGACTGTTTTTATAGTGGTCAGGCTATTATAAATCCAGAGATTTGTCTTTTAGCATCAGAATTGCTTGTTAAAATGGGAAAGGAGATAAACAAAGATAGGGTCCTTGTTAACTCATTAATATTCCCTATAATGAAAAATGTTGCCAGAAAGAAATAGCCGTGGTAATACGTGTAATCAATCTAGCCAGGGAAAAGTGATGCAATTTGTTATCTTTACAGAGTTGCTCTGTTCGCTAGTCAGCTACTTGGCATATTTATCAAATGCCCAGTTGGTGCATAATAGTGTACTGTTTCTCTGTGCTGCATGCTCCTTGAGCTTCATTCATTCATTCACTCACTTTTTCACTGTTCTTTCTTTAGTTCCCATTTTTTGGCATGTCCATTATATGCACGTTACTGTTACAAGTCCTGGAATAATAACGGTGAGCAAGGCAATTTCATCCTCAAGACAGAGTCAGTGGAGGGGAAAGTCACAAAAACAGACAATTAAAAAATGAAAGAATATGGAAGTGAATTTCTTGTATTTTTTGAGACTAGAGTCTCTATCCCTCATGCTGGAATACATTGATGCAATCTGGACTCACTGCAACCTCCGCTTTCCGGGCTCAATCAATTCTTGTTACTCAGCCTCCCACATAGCTGGGATTACAGGCATGCTCCACCATGCCCAGCTAATTTTTTTGTATTTCTAACAGAGATAGAGTTTCCCCTTGTAGGCCAGGTTGGTCTCAAACTCCTGGTCTCAAGTGATCTACACGCCTCAGCACCCCAAAGTGCCAGAATTAGTGGTGTGAGCCACTGTGCCTGGCCTGGAAGTGAATTTGAGAGATGATATTACAAAACTATTCTTTCATCCTGACTATAGTAGTATGCCCAGAGATGATCTGATTTTGGCGGAAGTAGAGTTCTTAAAGGGACTCCGTCCTTAGCAAGACTGAAAAGGAAAGTGCCAGACTTTGTCTAATTCAGGAGATATCAAAGCAGGCAGCAAGATGAGTTGCAAGCATTCTTGCCTGAAAGAAACTGTACTAGTTTTCTAGGGCTTCCATAACAAAGCACCACAGACTAGATGGCTTCAGTAGCAGAAACTGATTTTGTCAGAGTGCAGGAGACTAGAAGTCTGAGATCAAGGTGCCAGGAGGGTTATTTATCTGAGGCCTCCTTCCTTGGCTTAAAGATGGTCATCTTTTCCCTGTGTCTCCATATAGTCTTCCCTCTGTGTGTGACTGTGTCATAATCTCTTTGTTTTATAAGGATATCAGACATAATGAATTAGGGCTTACCCATATGTCCTCATTCTAACTTAATTAGCTCTTCAGAGAACCTATCTCTAAATACAGTTTGAGATACTGTGTTTTTAGGAGGAACCTAATTCAGCCCATAACAGGTACCAAGAGTGGGTCTAACAGGGTCAGAAATCCCAACTTCTACAGAGAAGGAAAATCAGATCCAGATACAGCGGCTGTCTAGATGCTTATATAAGGGCCCAGTTGAGGTGTGGCTTGGTTATGCTGCATTTCAGTTTAAAATTTGCTGCATGCTGCTAAATGGATGTCTTAGTGCAATGGAGTCTATGCATGACCTTACCCTTTGAAGTTGTTTTAAACATTCCTTGATTCCTCTGGCCCACTGAAGACAATTATGTGTTCTAGAAATTTAAGAATTTGCAAAGGGAGCAAGAGAGGACATCTTAACCACAGTTTCTGCAATTGGCATGTGGTATATTATTTAACTCATTCCCTACTCCAAGGAGTAATTTCCTCTGAAATTTTACAGTAGTCCCATATTAGGACTCTAAAGTGTAGAATGAGGGAATTGTAATATAATGTACGATCCTTTAACTGCAGTAATAAAAACAAATGAAAAGTGTGTTAAACCAGTGTTTCCAAACTTCTCTGATGTTGAGACTCGCTGTTTAAAAATCATAGCTTTCCAGGCCCTTTCCTGGGGTATTCTGATTTGGGGCTGTGGTGGAACCTAGAAATTTATACTTTAAAAAATGGTACGATATATATTTCTTATATTTATAGAAGTTTTGCAAGCAAATCGAGTCAACACTATCAGTTTGGGTCCAGGCTCTTTCTATGTGCTCTGCTTTCATTACTGGGTTTACCATCAGTGTGACCCTGACACTCAGGGCCATAAAATGATGCTGACGTATTGCATTCGCAGCAGAAGAGGAACAGTTTCTTCTGACATGTTGCCAAGAGAAAGAAGGAAAGTGAGAAGGAGGGAGGGAAAAAGAAAGGAAGGACAAGGGAAAGAAGTAAAGACCCTAATTGAGAAGTCCCTCAGCTTATCTCTCCATGCGTCTGCAGCACATGCCCACCCTTAAACCACAGGGAAGGGAATTACCATGTTTGGCCTAAACTATTCAGGATTTGCCATTGACCTTGTGATAGTTCAACTTTTTCTAGGTGTGTATCTTCACAGAGACAGATAGACACCCAAATAATAAGGCAGAGTCATAAGGGATTGAATGGGCAAACGCTGATGTCTCCTACAACTAACTACAGTTAATACAGCAATGTTACCAGCCAAAGTAAAATTAGAATTAGGTAATCAATGTTGATAGGAAATAGCTAATATTTATTCAGTGTTTATTATGTGAATGACACTGCATTCTAAGGGCTTTATGTGGATTAAAATAATTAAGCCCACAACATATGATGATGCAGGTGCTGTTATATTAATCCCATTTTACAAATGAAGAAATTGAAACAGTAATGTTAATTAGCTTATCTAAGATCATATAGCTCTTAAGTGACTGAGAAAAGACTTGAGTCCTGGCATGCTGGGTTGCTCCAGAACTACCCTCTAAATCATATTCTATTCCACTTGAACAGATCATAAAGCTGTACTTAACAAATACAAATTGTGCTTGTGTGACAATTTGTGAAATTGGTTTGGTGACTTGTTGCATTGTTCATCTGTCCTCTATTTAACAAGCACAAATAAGCACCTTCTATTGGCAAAGGAATATATCCGGGGGCTACGAAATTTCGAGAATGAGTAAGAAGTGATACAACTCTCTTGAAAGAATGTCCTTCAGTGGAGGAACTAGGCTTTCAATCAATTAATTGTAATAGAATATAAAATAAGGTAGAATGTAGCAAATAGTAAAAAAAATACAAGGAATCTGTTGTTGGATTGAAGATAAAACAACAGTTAATTCCTACAGGATAGATCAGAGAAGATTCACAAAGAGTATTTACGTGGAGGGAGAGGAGGACATTCCAGGCTTAGAGGAAGTGAGGAATCAGAATTGAATTATGTTATGTTGTATTCTGAGAATAAATTGCTATGACTAAAATGTGGGGGACTTAGAGATATACTGATAACTGTGAAGATACTAACATTTAAAGGGGATGCCATAGCATATGTGAAATTTATCTCTGTACATGGGGAACCACAATTATTAGATAGGGTTGTCATTAGAATGATGGGTGATTTATTTTGACTCGATTCCTATTCTTTGATAATACTCAAAGAAGGCTATTTTCTTCCTTCCTCTACTTAAATAATTCATACCCACCTTTTAGGGACAGTTTTAATTATTTTCTTACAAATTTGGCCCTTATCAAAGTATGTCTTACATTCTTTTTAAGTGTTACTGAGTGATGGTTTTATCTTTTCAACTAGATTTTATATTTTCAACTAGAATTTCATAGAAGATAGGGATTCTAGTGTTAAATATTTTTAGATTTGACTTTAATGCCTGACTTAGTGTTGTTTATAGTAGATCCAATCAATAAGTGTTGAGTAATTGCCCACATTATAGTGATTCCCTGTAGGACTTCCCAGACCTTTAGGGTATCACTTTCCCAGGTGGTTTGAGAGTGCCTCTTAATTTTTACTGGGAGAACTACATGTGGGGGAGCCTCACTTTATATGAAATGGCTTATCTGCCACTGTTTCCATTTTGCTGGAAAGTCAGTTAAGGAGAGAGCTACAATGTTTTTCCAGCCTCTCACTAGCAATCCAAGGCATCTGTCAATGCTTTGGACAACTTCTTTCCCAACTCTCTCAAGGGTTTACTTGATCTGCTACCTTTTTGACATCTGTTGCCTTAATAATTTTCCTTTGGAGAATCCATTCCATGGGCAAATCTGGCTGTTCATCTCTTCCCAGGGCAGTTGCTTCTTTGCAGGCCTCCTTGGTTATTTTTATTCCAGGCAGCTCCAACTCTAATCAAGTCTTGTTTATTCAACTGACATTTTATCACCAACTCTGCATTTAAGTCAATGAAAGATCATTTCTCCCAGATACTGGTTACTATTATTTCTTATCTCATGCATTTGACTCGTCAAAAATTTTTCAGAAAAAAAAAATTCCCTGAGATGGCTGTTGCTGACCCAATGATCATAGAAAAGAAAAAGCTATTCCAAGACCAAAGAGCCTCCTCGTTGAGTTCTCCTTGTCTGTTAGAACTTACCCAACAAGGTCTTTCATAGATATTCAGGAAGTAAATGGCATTGCAAACTCCAGATGATCTCACAGAAATTTTCTATATTTGTAGTGAACATTCTTGCTCATTTATTTCATACTTGAAATTTTATTTCAAATTAGCTTTATACTACAAGCTTCGCTGGGGGTTATTGACATAAAAGCTTTCAAATGCAATCCTAGAAATATCCGATTAGCAGAAATTCACAGAGGAATGTTTATTTTCCTATATGCTTCAGGGCCTATTCCTCCACTATTTACTATTGTATTTCCAGTATCTAACAGTGACTGAAAACAGGCAGGTCAGAAATACAACAATTTAGAATGTCATCTATTTCTACCTACTCTTGATTCTAGGATATTTATTTCAAATCTACTTTAGCAGTCTTTTCTATAGAGTTTGTGCTAGCCTCTCACTGTTGCCTCAGGAAGCTTCTGCAAGTTGATTAGAGTTTCATGCAACGTGAAATACATATATCCTTATCATAGTTAGGACTTGATACATATTTCCTAATGATTGAAATAATATTTTTCTTTGTGCATGACCCCTTCAGCATCTTCTCTGATGAATTGTCATTCTGTGTCTACTTAAACACCTCTACAAGAGAAAGAATGCATTATTTCTTAAGACAGGTTCTCCCACTGTGATATAAATTAAACAGAAAGTTCTTTATATTTAGCAAAATCTTACCTTTGTTAACTTATTAATCCATTTTTATATATTCCAAGAACAATTTGTTGCAACTAGTTAATGCTTCTCTCAGAATTAGTTTCTATTTAGATACCATCCTACAATGGGTAACTTTGCCTGTTTTCAATTAGCCCTTCAATAGTGCTCATAATCAGTCCACCCCACTTGGTTTCCTCTTGTTAATAATAGCTAAATTAAAACTTTTTAATGACAACTATAACATACATTCATATACCCACACGTGTATGTACATGTGTGTGCTATATGAAACAAAAACATTACGAAATACATAACCATTCAAAAATAGTACACATAGACAAATGCCAAGAGCTTCTAGTGTTGAATGTCCAAGATCTTCACACTACGTTTTAGACAAGTATTCAGCCATGAGTGTATTGGTGGCATGTTTCTGCACAGGTTGTAATCTTAATTTTCTTCTTTTATTACCTTGGTTGTTAGTGTCACCTAGTTGTCAATATTAGACAAACCACTTTCTATTTCAGAGATGCTAAGTATGATAAATATTCAGTCTCTGCAATTGCTCCAAGTTCTGTTCTTATAGACCATCTGCCCTGACTACATGGAATTCATCAAAAACATTTTCATGGATCATGCCTCCTCCACTTCTGTTTTGCATTTCTGTTGTACAGCTCTGCACAGCTCTTTTTAGGATGAGAAAATGTTGTTGTAATGAGGAGGATTTTGTAGAACTTCCCATGTGCATGTGGGGAAAAGGAATTCTTCTACGCTAAAAGCTTCCCAGAGGACTCATGCATTAATCAAAAGCTCTTCCCTCTTTGTTTTCTTTCTCTTCATAAAAATAATCCTGCTGACACTAACTGCCTGTCTTTGGAAATTAGGGGAATCAGAGCTGGAGCTCTAATATTTAAAACTGTTTCATGCTTATGTTAAGGGGTTATATGCTCTTCCGCTAATCAATGTACTTTCCCTGATGTTGTCTCTCTTTACAATGCTACTTAGCTGATGGAGAAGGGTGGGGATTTTGCCTGTAAACCTATGGGAGAAGCACTTCAGCTCCAGAGAATGAAAGTAGGTGCTCCATTGAGCCAGCCATTATTACTGAGCCCTTTCAGAAGGCAGCAAAGGTAACAAGATGCTTAATGAATGATCATTACATGTTCCAGACACATTAAATGTTACAGCCAAGTAATAATTTTACATGCAAGGAAATCAAGGTCAGATAAACTGTGCTTGAAAGTCAGCATTTGAACTCAGATCATTTGAATGTAGAGCATGCTTATATAACCATATCATCTGTTTCCTAACACAGAGCATGCTTCTAACTCACAGGTGATAAGACAGTGTTGCTTCTTGTCTAACACCAAGAAGAATTAGTTCATATTCATTTCTGATGTTTAAAAAGTCATAAAATAATCTTATCTCTTTATAAGGAGGGGGAGTCTGGAAGAGGCTAGGTTAGAAGTATGGAAGACAACACAAGAATGTATGTACCCAGACATTTGCCAGAACTATTCCAATTGCACATTTCCCTACTGGCTAAATTATCATCCTCTGTCTCATTAGATTAGGCAGATATGGAATTATTGCACATAGAATGTTATTTCTTAAAACTTTATCTCTCAAAGGCATGCATTTTGGAAATAAGATCTTGCTCCTCTAGGGAAGTCAGAGTCTTAGTTGTTTTGCCACAAAACAAAGTGATGTCTGCATTAATGAGCAGCCTTCTAAATAGCTCAGAGAACTTCCCTTCAATGAACTTCTTTTTCCTCTCAACACCCTGGTGAGAAGACAGGTGGCAAACACTATTAATCCCATTTTGCAGATGAAGAAATACTGCTAATCCTCTATTTCTATTTGAAGAACATGCTATGCCCTGGAGTATGTGTCAGTTTATACATCTGTTTGGTTCCACCAAACATCTGAGAAATATAGTCTATGAGCTCTGAGTTCTTTTTTTTTTTTTCTCTTTGAATTTGTCATTTACATCCCTGAAATCCTAAGGATCGCTACACTTAGGTGCTAAATGACATAGTCTAAAAAGAAACCTCTATTAGCAAGTTGGGACACTTTCCCATTGTCCGAAATATTTAGCCATACAACATTCATATGAGAAAAATAAATCTGAAGGAAAATTATGAGATTTCTTTTAACTAACAGTGAGGGAACTCATGGAGGCACTGGTTAATGCTGGAACAGTGAAAGCTGAAAAGTCATAACACGTACTCTTTACTCAAAGGGAGTAACACCTCTATATCTGTGTCAGAAATGAGCAATGGTGACTCAAATTGGGTTTAGATGGCATAGGTCAATCAGAATAACAGTAAAATGTAATGATGCCCAAGTTCTCAGAAACCATGTGAATGGTTCTACAATGAGAAGCAGAAATCCGACATTTGGCATAGCATATACTGACAGTAATAACTATTA